TATGTTGAAAAAAAATTTCATTTTATTAATTTTATTGATGTTTTATTTGTTTTAGAGATTTGGAGATTTGAATTACAATTATGGACATAGATCAGTTRGGTAATGATGCTAAATTGGCAGCAACAAAATACTTTACAAATATGCTTAAGAAATCAGGACAGTTGGAGAAAGTCGAACAGTTGAAGAATCGCATCTCACGTAAAAAAACCTCTACTGAGGCAATGTTGAAAACAGCAATGCAAAGTCAATTAGACGGGGTTACAATCGGAATGGAACAACTAAAAGATGCACTGGATGATATAAATAAGGTAAAGATATACCTTAGTCAAACAAAAAAGGCATTTATCAATTTACCATCTCTTGGATACAAGTTGCAAGATGTGCGTACCAAACAAATGCAACATTCTCAGTACTTGACGGCTAATGAAAATATGAAACACCTATTCACTGTACCCGAAAGTATTGAAAAAACTAAACAGTGGATCAATGATGGAAAATTTTTACATGCTCATCAGTGTTTAATTGACCTTGAGAATTCTAGAGATGATCTTTTATTTGAAGTTCATAAATTGCCCAATCAGGCACCAAGTGATAAAATACTACTCAAAGCATACTTTGAAGATGTTGAAGTTATGTCTGATATGTTGAAAAAACAAATTAAATTAGTATTGAGCAGAACTCTGAATACTGTTAGAAAAGAACCTATGGTGATTGTTACTGTACTGCGGATAATTGAACGAGAAGAGCGTGCTGATATATTTGCATTGCAGCGTCATAAACAATCTGGATTTATGCCACCTAGTCGCCCAAAAAATTGGAAAGAAATGGCGTTTGATGTACTTCAAAAGTCAGTTGACCAGCGAATAGAAGGTACTCAGGTGAATGAACGATCTGACAATAAAATGTGGCTTGTAACATATTTGGAACTTTGTCGGCAATTAATTCTTGAAGACTTGCGAGTGGTTAAAACTCTTTGTGTGCCATGTTTTCCACCACAATATGATATTTTTGATAAATTTGTTTATATGTATCATTCCAGTCTCTCTGCAAATTTAAACGACATAATATCAGATGGACTAGAAGGCAATGAATATGTAACAATTATTTCATGGGTGACTAACACATACCCTGGTACAGAATTAATGTTACATCCTGAATTGAATATAGACATTGGTAAAGTTGGTCCGTTATTAAAATCAACAACTATTTTTGATTTGCAGTCAAAATATTTAGAATACATAAAAGCCAATTACAAAGAATGGATGTTAAAAACATTAGATACTGAAAAAAATGATTGGTATGCAGGTGCTTCACCTGAAGTTGGTCCAGATGGATGTTTTCATACAGCTGCACCAGTTATTATATTTCAGATGATTGATCAAAATTTGCAAGTCACAAAAACTATAAGCCAGCATTTAACTCACAAAGCATTATTATTGAGTGTAGATAGCGTTAGTCTATATGGTGTATCTTACAAAGAGGCTGTTATAGAGTTCAAGAAAAAGCACTTTGAGGATAGAAGCAAAGTACCATTTTTTACTCAYTGCATAATTACTGTACTCAACAACTGCCTGCAATTTATCGAATTAGCATTAGAAATGAAGCAACACTATTGGAGTAGTGATTTTAAGGACCAGTCAAGTACTGCCTATGAAAAATTAATAAAAACTTTCCAAAACCTTAGAGACGAAGCAGCACAATTTCTTTTAGAAGAAGCTCTGATTGATCTTGACTCTCATTTTCAAGATTTGATTACTACTAAATGGCTTACCAGCTTTATATCTATTGAAACGATTTGTGTGACATTAGAAGATTATTTTCAAGACTATACTCATCTAAAGCCAAAGAATTTAGAGTATATAATATTAGAAGCTGAGGATATAATAGTGAGACGATACATAATGGCTATTTTGCAGAAGAAATTAAATTTCAAGACATACGAAGAACGTCGATCAGCAGCCGATAAAATGACAAATGAAGTGGATCAATTGAAATCATTTTTTATGCGTGTGGCGCCTTTAGTAACACGTGATAAAGATTCTCCCTTTGATGCTG